CGGAGATTTCTATGATGCAAAGTGGGATCGCATGCTTTCTGCTGTCGATTATTCCGACTGGTTATTGTGGCGTGGATAACCTTCTAAAATGGGATTAATTTTGCCCCGAGCTTACCGGTATCATCGGTTGTTGATATCAACAATGCTACACACTGTGTGTGTTTTTAATAATAATAATTCTTTCCACAAGTGGAAGTGCACATACCTAGTATTATTCTATTATTGTATTTGTTCTCCCTTTATTCAACTGATGCACATATGTTTGATTTTTAACTTCTTGTTATTTTTAATAATTATATTCCTGTTTCTTGAGCTGTTGTGTCCCCCATGGAGATCAATAAAGTTTATCTTTATCCACCACAAGAATAACATCTGCTGTAAAATTGTATTTTTTTCTCTCTTGCACAAAAGCCGGATTTTCCCTTGATTTATTTTATGAGTTACTTGAAGAAGTTGTTTTTCATCTCTTCCTCACTAGTTTCACTCTCCCTTGAAAATTGGTCACAGAATATGAGACGAAAACAACAATACAATCTCTCCTCATCTCTCATCTTTTCTTGAGCAGACACTGCCTCTTTACTGTCGGCGGGGTAAACCCAGCAGGTATCTACAAGGCAGAGGGCACCGTCTCTCTAGCTGCTGTGACTCTTTTCATGTTTGAGTTCATTTGGATTTTTTGGGGGGGATCTCCATCTGTGTGCTATATTTACAGACTTAATGGTACTGTGTGTTTATTAGAGAAGGATGGAGAAGCCACAGATGGCAAAGCAGTGCCAGAGGACGCAGGCTATTTCAGCTGAAGAACAGAGGTGAAAAACGTGACGCTGTGGGAGCTTTTCGTGGTGTCAAACCTCATTAGTCTGAAAGCTGAAAAGAGACGACAAGCAAATGATTAGTTTGAAATAACCTGCGGTCAGAAGTGTTGAAGAAAAATCCCTCAAGGTGTCTTGTTTTGAAATAGTGAAGAGTATTTTCCAGACTGACAAAGGTCTACAGGAGCAGGTCATTTGGGAAATCTAATCAGATGCAAAGTTTAATACCCAGACCATGTCTTCACTAAATATGAGGATCAGGGCAGAAGCTGGAAACAAACAGCTAGCCTGGATCAGTCCAAAATTAAAGGCAGGGTTGGTAATTTTCTCCAGAAACACTTTTTAAGATTTTAAATTGTCTTTAGGTCCTGACATATGTTATTAATTCATGTGCTCTGAAAAAGGAACAAAGAAAATCTGTTATCTGTATCAGTTTGTAATCCTGTAAAACTTCGACCAATGTCTGCCATGAGGTACCAATCTGATGAACCAATCAGACGCCTCCCTGTCTCCCTACTCGCTCTCTACCTCTTGCATGTTCTAGCCCACACTCAAAGCATGAGCTGAGGTCCGCTTCTGGACCAATGGCGCTTGTGCATGTAAGTGAGGAGGCGTGGCTTTTGAGGGAGCACAATTCAATTAAAAAAACTGTATTTGTCCCCGGGGGGGCAATTGAAACGGGGTGGGGGGGGGGGGGTGCAGACAGGGCACTGTGGGAATGCTACTTTCAAAATTATTCTAGTTTTTGGAAAATTACCAACCCTGCCTTTAACTATTGAACACTGACATTTCTGAATAGATCAAACAAGTAGATAAAACATCTTAGCCGCCTGGTCGTTGGTTTCAAACTGAACTGTAGCCTTCTAAGTAAGGCTAAGCCGCAGCTTGCTGAAAACATCTTAATTGGCTTAATTTAGCCTAGCACAGCCTGCTGGGTTTTTTTTTTTTAAGCCAACAGTTGGATCGCTTAGCCGACCAAACTTGACGCTAAATCTGGAAACAGGGAAAAACAGCCTTAATTCAGTTAAAATATTTGCAATTAATTTGCATTTTACCCTTGGACAGAGCCGTCCTGTTTCCAGTCTGCATGCTAAGCTGAGCTAATAGCTAGCCCAGTTTGGCAAAATAGCTGGAAACCAGAAAAGACCAGCTTGAGTCAGTCCTTAGCTAATATTAGTCACACATTTTTATTTTTTATGCTAAGCTAAGCAACTTTTCAGCAACTTCACATAAGAGCTGTATCAGTTTTTATCAATCGAAACAGGTAAACAAATAAGCTGTTTCATGATTGAGACAGCAGCCACACACAAAACCCGCTCTATGTCTTCAATTAAGTTAATTACATCAAATGAGAAATGATTCCCCTGAAGGTGGGGGGGGGGGTCAGGGCTTATTTCCACAAGAATTACAAGCTCATTGTACGTTATCCCTGACTGAGGCTTTACACAACAACACTGTCCAACGATGTCTCTGTTATTGTGCTGCTGTAAAAGGAATTCAACTGTGTTTAATTAAAAAGCTACCCTCAGGGCTAATGAGTATTGGTTTCTCACAGACTATTCAAAGCAACACAGCCCGGCCACCTCTGAGTAATGACTGTACAATAATAAAACCAAAACACATAAACACTTACAGTCCAAGGCATACTGAGTGAAAAGAGGGGCGTCAAATACCCCTGCCTGTATTAAGTAGACACTTTTAAATCCCAGATAAGTTTCAAACAATATCAAGCATGTTGCCTTTTGCTGTTGGTATTAAGCCTTTTGCCTCGAGGGCCCTCATTTATTTTTGTTCCCCTGAGGAGTCTAGAAACCAAGTGGCATACAGTTCCCTTCATATTTGTCATCGGCGGCATATTCTCAATATTCCTCCTGCCAATTCACCAATGAGATGAGAAGGGTGCAAATTACCTTGTGAATGCATTTGCTTTAATCAGCATGAATCGGGATGCAGATTTAATCTTGGCTTGTGCTTTCTTTTTTTTCTCTGCCATTTAGATGTTTCAGCTCAGCTGTGCAAATCCATCTGAGGGATGAAAAGAATTAGCTCATGCATAAAAACGACAAGATTTTTTGAATTACTTACAATTAAGATACGACTCCCTGAACTCCCTTCTTCGTGCATTTGCAAGAAAAATACTGTTTCAGATTAAAAAAAAGATTCAAATAATAGACAATGCTTTCTACAAATACGAACATGAACAGATTTTATTTTTTGACAGAATGTAAGGGCTTGAGTCCATAAATCATTTTTGAAAGTCATTTTCTTACATGAACCTGCAAAGGCACATTCAAGCCATCCAACAAGCCCTCAGTCCTTGGCAATGTTTTGGCAGAATTGTCTCCATGTTTTGTTTTGTTTTGTTTTCACAACACGTGCTCGAACCTGTGTTCAAAGCGAGGCTGTCTGAAAGAGCGCGCAGGCTGCAGCACAGATTTTCCCACCGAATTGCTCAGCTGCTTGAGGAGCATCCACAGGAGGAGCAGCAGCAGCGTCAGGAGTCCGAGGAGCATCCCCACATACAGGCTCAGGTTCCAGCCCCAGCCCAGAGCAAAGGGCAGCGAGGTGGACGCCACCAGAAATTTTCTGGGGGCAGGCATTTAGGTTACCCAGCAACCCGCCCTCCCCACCTCTTCCAGAAAACACTTTTTTTGCCCAGACTTGGATCTTCTCAGGGGTGACACAAATGCTGTGCGGCAGCTGTAGGAGCCATTGTTTAAGCTGGTATCCAACAGGTTTGCTTATGTTATAGAATTCCCATCTGCTCCCATGGTTTAATCCTTTTGTTTGTGCGCTGGTTCAGTCAAAAAAAAAAGCAAACCTGTTGAGAGCGTGAGCATGGTCTTTGAGCTGCTCGCGAGTGAAACGGTGGGCTGTGTTTTCCCTCTCGTCTCCTGTCAGACTCCTCGCACAGAGCCAGCCTCCCAATTTATCACAGGCGAGAGGGAGAGGGAGAGAGAGAGAGGGAGAGATGGCTTCAACACCACTGGCTGTATTTACTTCACTTTCAGTGAAAATCAAATTACTGATGTATGAGAAGAAAATGTCAAGACCTTTGTCATTAACTGAAATACAAAGAAAGGGGGAAACCTTTATTTGCACATTTTTGAATATTAAATATCTCTAAAGCTCAAACAATTGCTCAGAGCAAGCTGTGCAACTTGACACGCTCTGCAATGATTATTTACCACATTTCTATTTTAGCCCGTATAATGACTTACAATGCTTTTGTTAGGTTATGGACTATAGATTAAAAAAAAGAAATTACCCAGTCTAGAAATGTACATATAGTATTAAATGTGTTCATTTTATACTGACCAGAACAAATAGATATTGGGGATTATGCCATCCATATAACATTAAGTAAATTTCTGTAAACTTTCAATTGGAGTATTTTACCTACAGGCTCTACTCCATTGGATCTGCAGAGCCCCTCTGCACCTTTAAGAAAAAGCTAAAGACCCAGCTCTTTCATGAATACCTACTAACTTAATGATGGTCTCCATATTATTGATGATGGTTGTGACGATGGTTTTTGTTTGATGACTTAAGATGGTTAGAGCTCTCAAGAACTGCCCTCAATATTGTGTTTTGCCTCTGGTCACTTCCTGTCAGCACCTGTGTGTCCAATCAGACTCAAAGCTGATCGTTTGCTCTTACTGACATTGTTCCCTTTTTTCTAGATCTTTACTTGTGTTGTATGTCACTTTGGATAAAAGCGTTTAAGCAAATTGTACTCAAAATCTCTACTTTCAGACTTAGTGGAATTCTCTTTGCAAGCTCAATATTTCTTGCTTTTCTAAAAGGCATTCGAGAGTACAGTGTTCTGTGCCAATATTGAGGACCACATCCGAGTAGCCAGGGCTTTAAACGATCGTACATTACCCTTTTATGAGGAGATTCTCACCTTCAATTAGTTTTAAAGCCTCCTGAAAGATTTGCACAAACAGCTTTGGACCATAGATCAATAAGTCATTACATATCAGTGAAAATTTCAGACCTTTTTTTTTTTTTACCCTTTCTGCAAGCGAGAATGTTTTTGCACATCCAAGTATTCAGACATGAAATCACTTAATATAAATTAATGTTTGTAGGTCCCCATGCATCTGCTGAAACTTGTTGAGATCCAAAACTGGTCCTCTGCTGCCCCCATGAGTCCTTCGTGACCATAAACATGTAGACGTTAAGTCTTACTTTAAATGAGTTTTTATTTACAAGAGCCATATCTTACAGTGCAGAAGATGTCCTTTAAGACACCTATGTAATGAGACAGCTGACTCCATGACAGACAAAAGACACTTTAATTGCCATCCCATGAGGCCAATCGGTAATCAACACTTACTGCTCAGATCAAGCTACACTTGAACATAGTAGCTCAAAGCAGGATGTTCAAACAGCAGGGACCTATATATATTTTGTCTGTTTTAAAAGTCAAACTATTAAAACTGCTTGATTAACCAAAACTTTGTGGTGTCTGGTAAGAATGAGTGTATAAAAATACCATTAAAACTCTAAACATCTGACTCTACTCCAAAAAGAGCAGGACAAGACATAAAATTGTGGTACACATCATTAAAAAAAGAAAAAATACACAAGACTGACAGGGGAACAACTCTACATGGACAGGGGGAGGAGTCAGTTAAGCTGCAATTTAGCTGGAGCATCGATGAGGGAAACTTCGTAGTACCTGGAAAACAGAAAGGTGTTAAAATCAAAAATATGAAGTTTGAATTTATTTAAACGCATCTAAAAGCAGCTTTATTAGCGGGACACTTACTTGGCACCCTTGTACTTCTCCCGAACAGACTGCTGGGCATGTTGAGCAGCATTGAGGTGAAGTCGGTGCAGATCCTCGATGCATGGCATCAGATCTTCTAGGGAGTAGCCGGTCATCTCTATCAAAGACTTTGGCTGAGGAGGAGAAAACTGGAATTACACTTGTGTTTACAAGTCTCAAAAGTTAAGACTTTGAATTTTAATCTTTAGGTTTGCCAAGCCACCGTCTGAAAACAAAAATTAGACAAGACAAGTCTGGCATTTAGTACTTACCCATGAGCCACCAGACACTATGCTGTTTGCCAGGGCGTAAGCTGCAGCTGCAGTTTGAGATGGCAGGTACTTCAGGAAGGGATCCGAGTCCACCAAACTGAGCTCACTGAGGTACTGTAGAAATAAAAATACAGAGTTGAAGCCAATCTTTTAAATACATGAACATACCAGAGTTGCTGTGATTGAGATGATCATTTCTGCCTTATAGTTTTCCAATATTTGCAGCACGCTCACCATTGCCAGGCACTCCACCTGTTTGCTAACAGACTGATGGAGGAAGTAGTGGGTGAGAAACTGGTTGATGGTCGGTGCAGCCAGATCAAAGGAGAGCACTTTCAGCACCAGATGCTCCATTCTTAACACTTGCTTCTTTGTGTAGGTGTCGTCTGTGATGTAAACAAACTCTGCCACCTCAGGCGGGTAGATCTCTTCAAATTTCCTGCATTAGAGAGTCAAGTTAGATCACAAGGATTCAACAACATGTACGTTATTCTTTAAACACAAGACATAAAAAGTGATTATACTTACGAAGCCAACAGCATGGCGGCTGTCCCAACCAGCTGAAGCTTCCCCCTCAGAACAGACATGGAGGAGAGGAATCGGTCAATGTAGTTCACAGCCAGGTAAAGTGTCTCACTCTGGAGCTTGTACTCTTCTCCGACCTCGACCAGCCAGTCGACCAGGATGGCCCTCATGCTGTTTGTGATGTCAGGCTGCTTCTTCATGTAGCCTGCTTTGGGTCTGGTTTTTACCTTTGAAGCAATGCAAGTATGTTACTAAAGGAACTCATTAGAAAGGCTTCAGGAGTAATAAGACACAGGTAGAAAAATCTGTGAATTAGATTCAAGTTTTAGCATAAAGTTCGGGGGGGGGGGGGGGGGGAGTAGCATTTCCCCAAATGTCTCACCTCCATCTCCCTCAGGTACGTGTGGATTTCAGCAGCATATTCTGGCACCTCGTTTACATCGATTGTTTTCTCCTCCCCCTCTACCACAGACATGTCCATGGGAGAGTCTGAACAAAGACAAACATTTCACAGGTTAAAAATCTCACTTGAAAGCAAAAGCAACACATTACCTGTCAGACAGGATTAGTTAAAGAAAGTGTTACTCGATAGTGAATTCACTTTTAAACCCACCGAAGCTGACATCCATCGCCGATGGAAAATCGAGGGTGGCCAGGGGCTGTCGGAGCCGCGCCACAGCATTGTTAATAGCGAGGGGAGACTCCTCGGTGATGGACTTCGGCGCTTTGACAGCGTCCACCACGGGCTGCTTCTTTTTGGCGGCGCCATCGGGCTGGTCCACGTGGATCTGGAAAGCGGGCAGCTTGGAGGAGGGCTTCTCGGCACAGCTTTTACTGAAGTCTTCTTTACATGACAGGTTCTGTGAGGAATCCTAGAAGAGTGAAGATTTAACATGAGGTGGTAGTCTTTTCAGAACAGCAGCATTAGAACCCTTCAATGAGGAGAACATTAAGACAATGAGCCACTCTTGCATAGTTAACTTGATTTTGTACTTTTATATAGCCCCTATTTTTATTTATCTAATCTGTTTAAATTGTATTGAGCTTACTTGTCTGCGCTGCTGCAACGCCCGAATTACACCTCAGGATCAATAAAGTATTATCCTATCCCAGTGCAAGTAATGCAATTTCACGCCAACAAAAAAGTAGTAATTTGTGTGCAGAGTCAAGAGTTTGTGTTTTAACACAAGAGCATTTAAGCAAATTAAATAAACTCCCTAATCCCCTCCTGCACGATTTATTCACTTTACAAGATGCAAGCATAAAATGAGTCTGTTTAATATCTTAAAGGCACAAGAAACTCTTCCTACATCTGTGGGAAGTCTACAAGTTTGATTAACTAAAACTGCCTAAGAGCAGCTTTCACTGAACTCTTCATCTTTACATGACAGAGTCTGTCAAGCAGAGTGAAGCTTTAACATGAGAGGTGGTCTTTACAGAGAGACAGCATTATAACCGTGAAATGAGAACATTAAGACAAAGGTCAAGTAACACAATAATAATCACTAATCTAGTCTTTATGTGCAGAGTCAGGAGTTTTTGTTTTAATACAAGAGCATTTAAGCAAATTAAATAAATGCCTCCTGCACGATTTAGTGACTTTACAATAAGTTGTGAGATTCTGTGTAATATCTAAAGGCAGAAGAAACTCTTCTCACATTATATGCATGTGAAATCTACAAGTTTAAGCAAACAAAAGTGCACAAGAGTGTAAAACATAATGCTATGTTAAAATGGCGGACAACCTAAACGACAGACAAGCCTGCACTTCAAAACAACTTTTAAACTTTGCAGAGAGAGCAAAACAAAAAAAATGCATATTAATAACAATAAAGTATTTAATGCTTTACGTGCAGGACGTGTTGCCTCCAAAACGTACAATGGAAACCCCATCTTGACTTAGCTGCAGCTAGGAGAGCTAAAGATGTAGCCACACACACACACACACACACACTGACCTGTTTGGTGCCGCGCAGGTTCTGCTGTTTGCTCCTCTGGTTGTTCTGCAGGGCTCCCAGTACGGTTCTGGTGGCTGCTGCTGGTTTAGGTGGTTGGTTTTCTTGGTTCTCGTTAGCAGCAGCAGCAGCAGCAGCTCGGGGTTTGAGAGAGCCTCTCAGTCTTGACAGCATGTTTTCTTGGTTATGATTCTCAGTAGCCGCGCCTGTCTGTCCCCTGTTAGCTCCCGACATGATGATGATGATTTCCACCTCTCGAAACAACAAAGTTCAGCCTCTGCAGGTTTGATTTTAAAAGAAATAAAAGGTGTGCTCCTGGGCTTCAGAGAAAAGGTTGAATAGTTGTAAAAAAAGATCAACTATGGAGGGTTTAAATCGAGGGTAGCATTAGCTGCTACGTTGCAGAGGAAGGTGGACTAGCTCAGTCTAATCTCAGCTGTTGAGATGGCAACGACAGAACAAACAGCGCAGATTAAAAACAAAAACAACAACAAGACGAACAGTTCTGAGCAAAAATATCTTCTACTTCTTCAGAAAGAATAAACGCGTTTCAAGTCGCCATTGTGTTCAGTTTGGAGTCCACCGACCTGCTGAGCCCTCAGTCCACTCACCCAGAAACATGTAAGAGGTGTCGCTCCTCTCTCAGTTCAAGTAGCCCGCGATGATTGAAACCAACCAATCACCGTGCGAGTCGGTGCGTGACGTCACAAGCGAACGGAAGCCGAAAGAGCACAATGTTGGCCTGATTGTAAATTCGAAACCGGTTTGTTTGACACATTGGGGGGGAAAGCAAAACGTCCGTACAAAGACCAGGGGTGGGCAAAGTGCGGCCCGAGGGCCATTTGCGGCCCTCGACTTAAATATAGTTTAGCAAATTGTATATAGAGAGAGATTATAAGGAACACAGGAAGTTCATAAATATTAATTATTGAGCTGTGGAAAAGGATTAAATAAGTTTTATACTTCTTCCTACTCCTTTTCAGGCATATCAATTGAATATATGTAATTAGCTTTTTCTTTATTTGTGAAATCATTTGAACATTGTTTTTTGTTTATTGTATTTTCGTGCTTTTCATTTTGTTTTGTATTTTTGATATGTTTGATTTTATTTTATATCTCTGAAATAAATTTAATCAATCAATCAATCCATCAAATGAAGAATCAGAAGATTTTGATTAAGATTGGCACATTATCTTATTTTTCTTTTTTATGTTAACAAGGACTGAACAATATTCCTAAAATAGAAAATGTTCAGTAACATGTATGTTGTTGTTTTTTGTTTTTTTTAATCTACAGCTTTTACTATTTTCCAATTTTTTTTGTAAACTATGAAACTAAACTTAAGCAAAGTTTTTCCAAACTTAAACTGTTGTTTAACCATTTAATGACCTGAGTTAAATGCAGAAAGCTTTTCCAAAATAAATGAACCACATTACAGGTTTGATTCTGAGAAAAAAAACAAATAAAGTAGAACGAAGAAATCTAAATATTTGATTTCCTTTTATTAAAGGGTTTCTTTAGCGAGCCTTTTGATTCTGATCTACAAAGCCTTACTATTTTTTCAACTATATTTTAAAAAACAAAACTTGTGGCCCGCCAGCGATTCTAAAGAAAAAGTTTGGACACCACTGACTTAGACCAAACATATGTTGATCTTTAAACTACAAATGTTATTTAGTTCGTTCCTATGTTAGATTTCATGTGTTAATAACTGTGCGTGGTTATTCCGTTTAAAAGATTCTGACTTAAAAACCCCACTTTGATATCTTTTGTAGGAGATTTCAGCTCCTTTATTTTGGCTGAAGTTCCTTCCAAGTGCACAAGTTTTATCATCAAACTGCTTATTTTGCAGCCCATGCTGATGCTTATTTTAGATGATAAGTGGGGGATTGATACTGATGCATTAACACTGGTGTAGTTTTCCACTTGTAGCTAGTTCAGATGCACCTATGCACTGTTGGTGTGTTCAATATTAAGTACTGCATCATATTTAATAAATTGAAACCATTTCTGTCAATTAAGTGTATAACCAGAGTTCATTTTTCCCTCCAAAATATGGTGAAAAAAGTGTTGTGCAGTGTAAAATGGAAATCCCTCTTGTACTAAAGTACCTAAACATTAGGTAAATGAATGAAGTTGCACCAGTGCTCCACCTATTCTCTTAGAGAGTCCCTTCAGTCAGTCAAGGAAAATATTCAGAAAAATAGAAATATGGAAATTACATCATGTTTTTTGTTTTTCTGGGATGTAGTCATTGTGGAAAAATAAATTGGTTCAATAGTTTTATTTTATTCAAAATCTTACCCTACATTGTAGTATCAAAACCATTTTTTTCTCCTGTAGAATTTCATAGTCTTAGTTGTATTTTTATTCATTTTTTGGTCCATCAACTTTTATTTCAAGAGGGGGAAGTCACATTACTATGATATTGTGCAACAAACAAACAAAAACTTTGTGCTTTTTGTTGGCATATATTTGGTCATTGTCATTTTCAACATGATCAAAAAGGGATTAAAGAAGTCCCTTAACTATCCTGGCAACATTGTCGTGAATTATTCATCACCACCTTCGTTTTAGATGCTATTTAAAGACATTAGAAATACCAAAGTTAGGACAAATATTATCTACATGTCAGTATGACAGAATGGCATTGACACTGCTACTATACTTGCAGCTATAATAAACAATATATATTTTTTGTATTTACAAGACAACATTGCTTAAATACAAGTAAATAAATACCCTCTTATCTATATTTCATCATGCCTCGTTGAAAAAGTCTAACAGAGAATTTAAGTCGTAATTATCGAGTATCTCCAACAATGAGGACACTTTAGTTTTCACATTTTGGCCTTTGAACTTAAATTTGTCGATGAACAGGTCCGTGATCATTCCTACAGGGAAGAGAAATCAAAATATTAGAAACAAGCTCTTCTTTGTTATTGTACGTTTGTCTATCAGACCAGAGTATTGACAAAATAAATACAAAAGAATCTGCAAACAACACTTTGAAATGTGGAAGGACATTCAGCTCTATTAGCAGAGTAAGAGTGCAAAACCCTTTACCGTAAAGCCTCTCGAGGTGTGCAGGCTGCTTCTTATACTCCTCGAGGAGATTAGCGGATTCGTCCAAGATGTTGCGATACTCTGGGATTAGGAAGTCAGCGTTCCCCTCATGAACCTGAAGCTCCTACCAATCACAGTAATCAGAGAAGTCAGAGCGGTGGCTCAAAGTGAGTGATGAACATTAGAAGCCTTTTCTAAAAAGAAAACCCTGTGAACTTCAAGTCTTCATTAACAGGAAGTTTACTGAAACATCTTCAGAATGGAAAGGTAGACCAATACTTACTTTAAGTGCATCAATTAGCTGGACTTTTCTCGCCAACAGCAACTGGTACTCGAGCTTTGGATGAATCATCTTCAGAGTGTGGCTCACTGACTCATCATCGATATCTGAACGATTGATTAACACAATAATGGTCGGTTCAACATGTTTTATTTTACGAGACATTCCTGAGCTAGTGTTGCCAGCAAACACTGAAATAATAAAAACATGTACCATATGAAATGTTGAGATTAATTTTCCTCTTGGTAGCTTCTTTAGAGAGAACGTCACTCAGTATGGAGATGGTGGAGATGTTGTCTGACCTGAAGTGACCCTCCCCTTTGCTAAAAGACCAGAAAACACATTTGATGTCTTAGTAAATTATAACACAACCGCCCTGCAATAAAGAAAACATTTATGGAAACATCCGGAGAGGAGCATTAAAGATGATTGTATAACACATTGTCAGTTGTCTTTACAGATTTATTCACAAAGCAGAGAACAGCTGTTTGACTTTGTGTTCCTATTTACCAGTAGGTGGCTTCAAGCTGCGTCCCGAGAAAAGTGTTATGGAAATAGAAAGCGATGTTCTCTCCTGCTGGTGTTTTCTCTGGCACCTCTGGCAAACAGAAGACCACCCAGGAGTGGATCTCCGCAAAGCTGAACTGTCCCACCAGACTTAGTCTGTTCATGGGCCTGCAAGGAGGGCATTGAGACAAAGGAAAAGACAGATCAGCATTTTTTAACAGTTAAAATAACGAGACTGATACAAATTTCATGATTTATATGTTAAATATATGGCATTAAAAATACTGAAATGCAGTTTTTATGACCAGTACTTCTGCATAAAACATAGCTCTAAGCTACCTTTTGACATTCTTTTATAAAGACAGAGCTTGGCCCACCATTTAGTTTGAAACATGGTTTGAATGTTTTCCTTTAATAAAATGAAATAATCAATTACTATTTTAAATGATTTGTATGCTTCTAATGGAGCCTGAATCCACAATTCTGGTATCCTGTTATTCAACACTGAGCTGTCTTTTATTTCTCTCTGAACAAATCTGATGTGTGCAGCCATTCAGTTTAATTCAGAATCAGAATCAGATTTATTGGCCAGGTATGCTTACACACACAAGGAATTTAACTTTGGTGAACTGTGCTCTCTTATATACAGGTACAACATTAAATATCAACAATAAACAGAATAAGAAAAGACTAATATTTACATGACTAAATATGAAACAGTGCAGTGGTGAATAGTGCAAAAGATGCTGAAGTAACATGATAAGTAAAATGCAGTTATGTGACAGATGGGCCAATTAACATGTCAATTACAGTATTTACATAAATAAGTGTGCGTGTATTATCATTTAAATTAAATAATATATATATACATTTATGTATATTCACAGTGACGGTTGGTTTAGATTGAATTAATTCAAATATTAACCTCTCCTGATCGATGCTGTGTGTCCGCTGGTGGAGGGACAGAGGTTTGATCTGGTACTTGCGGACCTGACATGTCTTGGGTTGCAGTCTGGGGGTGATGTAAGCCTGCAGGGTCCCAAACTGTCCCTCAATGGACCTCACCTATGAAACAAGTTAATATGGTTAAAACACATTTTTATTCTGCAGTGTAAAATGTGTAGGGCCTGTTTTCTAATACATAAAAACTATATTATCGAAAAATAAGAGACACACAAAGCTTAGTACTGGCTGTGACATCAAAGCATTCATATCACAAAGAACAGTTTTGATTGTGTGTGTTACCTTGAGCTCGAGTCTGGTCGTGTTAGCCTGACATCTGTATGTGGCCAGGAGGAAGTTCCCATTAGGCTGCTGGAAACAGAATAAGGGAGTCCGGTTTTAGGAGTAGAAGCAGGTTTGTGTTTTTATGTTTAGACAATGTTTGTCTAATAAAACAGTTTCTATAGCTCACCTCTGAATCACACTCACTGAAACTGACAACAGCTGAGTTCTTATCCACATCCAGGAGGTCTATGGGGACGTCACTCTGCAGAGGAGTTTCATTTTTAAGTTACATTTTCTGAAGCTGAGTGTGTAGGCTCCAGCAGCTGTAACCATAAGGATTGTATAAATAAAAAGCAGACCTGGAGCAGCAGATTGTCGATGGCAGTCTGCACCTCCAGAGTCAGGCTGTAGCTGGCATCGTCCTGGCAGAGGGTAAACTTGTCATTGATGCTGAAGAATGGAACGGCAGAGACGGCTGTGCTGGACTGTGAGGTCTGCTGGTACTGCTCACGGCCCTGCAGGACTTTGACCTGCAGCTGCTCCAGCTCGGCCCTGGAAGGTGACATGATGACTTTACGGGAGAACTGATAGAAATGTACTTCATCTAACACGTTCTAACACAAACAAAGAAAAAGACATAAGACGGACTGAACGATGAGATATAAAAACACAATTTTTCTGGTACCTGAGTGCTTCTACTTTGGACTGCGTCTCCTTACTCATCCTGACCTCGTCTCCAGGGCCAGCTTCAGCCTTCTGGGGTTCAGTGGTCAAACCAGTCACCCAACCTGGTAGAGGTAGTGACAGTAATGCCCAATATGCTCTACATTCCAGATATACTACTTTAGAAAATGAACACAGACATATTTTGCTTTCTGAGTCAACATTTGGGAACATTTAGGTTAAGTGTGTTTTTCTTGTTTTAATCTAACCTGTATAAGTTGCAGTCAAGATTTCATCATACGACTCCTTCCCTACACAGCCGCCCTGGATAGAGGTCACACTCTCTGACAACACCTGAAATCAGGATAGACATCAAACTTAAGCCATCAATGATCTGTATCAACTATGTACCGGTCAACATACTTCTAATGGAAGGCCAGTGAAAAATAAAAGTGCTGTAAAATCCAGAATATAAATCACACCAGTACATATGACCTAACTTACATTTAACATGAGAAAATAGATATTATAAGTGTCTTATACACTGGATTTGACTGTGATTTGGATTTGAATTGATTAAAAATGTAAGCTATTTTACCCTTTGATTATTAGAAACACTTAATAAAACAGGTGGTGGTATTAAAAAGTGATTGACAAACCAACAGTTTAAGTTAAGTTAAAGAGTTTTGCACACAGCTTTGTATGATACCCGACAAAGATCAAAACTTACACTAAACATTACAACGTAATAACTTAAAATCTGAGCAGACAAAGTTTTCCTCAGCATTGGAAAACTACAAATTGGAGTGAGTACATTTCTCAACATTTGATGAGTTGTGAGGTGCATAGACTCACATGCTCAAAGCGTAATGTGGGCTCATTGGTGCTTTCAAAACCAAAGACCTCTACTGTCCCATCGTCCCTGCCCACCAGGATGTCGTTCACTCCGTCTCCGATAATGTCATAAGTGTCAATGCACAAGATTCCTGAAGGGAGAAAAGTGAAACAATCAGGATGTTGGATACTTCTTAAAACATTGAAGATGTTATTTTTTTTGCATTCATAACTAAGGGTGTTGAAATGAATAGTTTCTATGACGAAACTCAATGTGGATGACTTGGCATTGATGCCGTGACAGAAAATAATCGATTATTGTGAAATGACACTGCTTATAGATTTTTCGTCCGTGGCTTGACCTTTATAATTTATTTATTTTGGTTTAGTTGACAATGATTTCTAAAGCGCTTTCTAGATGATAAAAAAGGGAGTTTAATTTGTATCTGACTGCTTTTCTTCATCGATGAAAAAGTAACCATGTGCAGTAAAATAGAAAAATTGAGAATGCAACCCATCATTGTAATATTGAATCAATCGAATCGTTGACGGGATAATCGCAATCGGATTAAACGACCAGTGAAGATGCAGAGACCTATTCTTAACTTCCTGCAAAGTCATTTCCTACACAGAGGGATTATTATTTTGATAAGTCAGTGGTTTGTATTCTATTGGCTAAAAAATTCAAAAGCCTGGTGATGTCATTAAAACATACCTCCTTTCTTTTTGTCATTGTCGACCTCCCATTTGGTCGCAGCCGAACGCTTACCAATCTGGACCAATCCTATTTTGCCATCCGTAGTTCCATAGAGGACTTCGTCTCCTGTGCAGAAATATTGACATCTGTAGAAAGCAATCTCAGGTTTAACTGTTCTGGTATCCAGCAAATCATGAGGTCAACTTGCCTTCTTCTTTGTTGTACAGTTCCAAGACGGATGGAGGGCCAGGGACTTCGATGTCATAGGCAAGCTCAGATCCCTGCAGAATAAAAAAAAGAACAGATGAATAAATCTTGTTCAATTATTTTAAGGCAGAAAAACGTATTCTTGTAAAATCTAAGCGTTCAATATTAACTTGATGTACCTGCAGGACTCTAAGAACTCGATCTTGGCATGCCAGGACTGGGACAATGCGAGTCAGGTTCTCAGAGGACAAACATGTGATATCATTGATCTTGTCTCCAGAGAGGTAGTAGTCCTGGTCCTTGCAGTCACAGTAGTGGTTGTAGATGTAACTTGCACACACAAAAAGATCTGCTCCTGCAACATGCCTGAAAAAACAAACAAACACTTAATTGTAAAAAAATAAATAAAATAACGATTGTGAATGTGGCAATAAATCAGTGTAAGTCAATCAAAAAGGAAAAGTTTGGCTCCTACATGGCGTTAATGCTCTCAGTTAGGTTGGCTTCAAATGTGAGAAACTGTTTGCCTTTCTTGGTAAATCCTCGGACCTGAGAACCAGAACACACAAAGATCTTCTCCTGCGGAGTTCCTGCCGCTCCTCCGAGGTCCATTCTGGATATTTTCTGGCCTGGCAGTGTTTTGAACACAGGCTGAAACAGAGATATAGATTCCTCACAATAAAAAGTAAAATGCATCATATTTTATAGCAACCGGCTGTGTGAACAGGAAAAAAAAAAACCACATTAGACCCACTCGTTTCGGTTTGCTGGCCTAATAAAGAAGCTGGTGAAGTTGTTGTGCCTAAAAACAATACTCTGCTTCTTGTGTGACAAGGAAAGAAAAGTCTTAACCGGTACACTCACCACTGCTTCTCCTTTCTTCATCCCAAAACATGTCAGTATACCATCATGATCAGCGATAGCAACCTGAAACAAAAAGAAGACAACCAAAGTCATGTTACTGTAAGATTCAACAGCTTAATTAAAAAACAACTCAAGTAAATCTGTTGGTGATTATACAGACATTGTTGTTGCTTGAGGTTAAAATACCTTTTGTGTTGCCTTTTTCCCCAATGCTGGAAGCAGCTTCATGGTTTTCTGTGAAGTCACACCAACCTATGAGGAGGAAACATGGATTAGATAGATAGATAGATAGATACTCCAGAGGGAAATTCAAAGCATCCAGTAGCAGGTTACAAAGACGTACATGACATGAAACATTTGTTACAAATTAAACCACAAAACCACAAATTAAACCGCCCCCCCTGTATAGACTTATACAAGAAATGTACATAACCCGTGCAGGGATAAAAATATATGTGTAATTTAAAGCAAGAACCTAAAAACAGTTGAGGAAACAAATCTGTAATTAGACCTGAATATAAACATAAATAAATAAATACTAAAATAAATAAAATAAATAAAATAAATAAAATAAATAAAAATAAAATAAAATAAAATAAAATAAAATAAAATAAAATAAAATAAATAATAAAATAAAATAAAATAGAATAAAAATAAAATAAAATAAAAAGTGTTGACCTTCTGAAGTAGTGTTGTTAGTTTGTTGATTAGTGTTATTCAAAGTGAGTACTAACAGGTGTTTGAGTGAAAAGCCCAGATTATACAGGAGTTTAAAATGAAGTTTCATAATAAAAGAATCCTAAAATAATAAATAAATAAATACTGAGAATACTATAAAGGATGTTACCTGAATATAATCGACTCGGTTGAGCTGGATGTCCATCTTCTTTCTTTCTTCAGGTTGTCTTTTCTTAAGGGTAATAAAAGTAAGAAACAAACCTTCCAAGTAAATTATCCGACTCTAAATCTCCAGCTGTAGACCACCTTTACCTTCTGCTATTCACAGTTTATTGTTAACATTTCCACCAGAGCTACAAAACGATACGAAAGATGAAGAGATTAACCATCTAACGCAAAGGAGATTAGCCTGACGTGCTAACGTTAGCTAGCAAGCTAATTGGCTAACACGATTTATTCCCACGTCAGCTGTCTACTTCAGTTAACATATTTATATGTTAACTGTTATTTATAAAATCTACTTTACAAACCTCACCACACCGGAAGCATACGCTGCCCGTGTTTGTTGTTTTTAATATGTAAAACAGAACTAAACAAAAACCTGTTTAACGCGAGTGAGACGTGAAGGTTCTGAGCAACGCTTCAGAACTACACGGACGCAGTGCTCGTCGCCAATGGCAACGCTCGACAATCGTAACAAGCTGCGCCCCCATTGGATGGAATTAAACGACAGAATTTCAAACTGTGCGCTGATTGGTTGGAATGCCATCTGGTTATGTAGTTACATACCTTCATTAGGTACACAACATAAACTGTAAATATTAAGGTACACATCTGTATTTTATATTCAGGTTTAATTACAGATTTGTTTCCTCAACTGTTTTTAGGTTCTTGTTTAAATTAAATATATTTTTATCCCTGCACGGGTTATGTACATTTCTTGTATAAGTCTATTTTTAATTGCAGTTTAAGTTTGATTCATTTAGGGGTATTCTTTAAATCTTTTTTCGGGTTAATATATATGTATGGGAGGGGGGCGTCGGTTTTGTGGTTTAATTTAATGTTTCATGTCATCTATCTATCTACATGCTCATGCAATGCTTCAATTCTGCTGCAATGTTGTCAGAAACGCCAGCACTTCAACATAGCATGTTTCCTTAATGTCTAATGTTTATTTTATGATTTAATTCAGTAGATATCATACATATTGGTCCTTAAAGCAATGTTCTGTGTGACGGTTGGACATGTAGACATAATTCAATGTATATTAGTGAACAGGTCAAGGTAAAGCAGTTGTCAAACTTCACTGTATCAACTCGTATTAAGTCTTTAATTTGTTGTTTTCACTATTTGCACACATGTAGGGACACCAACCATTAGTGAGGTAAAGCTAATTGTTAAAAAATGTCAGTATAATAGACATTACAGCTGATCAGTTGTTCTTGGACTACCTTACATTTTACAGCAGTAGCTAATGTAGCTGCCGTTGAGTGCTCGGGTTCCCTATATGAAGGCACCTTGTTTTATATAATACTGTATATTCATCAAACTAAAAACATCTTTAAAATGTTAACTAGTTAAGTGAATTACTTCTAGCATTACATTAGTAGAAACCTGTCTATAATTCATTAAATGATGCTAAATGAACCTTTAGTAATATCTACTTGGCGTAGATGTGTCAGGGCTGAAGTAGTTTTATCATGTTTTTATGGACGGCAGATACTCTGATTCTTTATTTTTTTTAATTCTTCTTTATTTATTGGTTTAATTAAGAGATCATTCTGTCTTTTCATAAAAATGTGGTTTGTTTGTATGCAAATGAACACATTAAACATGGCTGAAAAAAAAGATCATAGCATGCATTAAGCAAGGAAGCTACATAGCACAAATGAATAAAAGATCATCAAAACAGCATTCAAAGTGAGAAACAAGGTTAGAATGCATTCAGAAACATGACGTGCATTGTGCGACTCATTTCAAAAAAAAAAAAATCCTACAGCAAAAGTCTGGTACCTTTAAATATTCTATAAAATACAGCAGATATCTTGTTTCTCAATTCAACACTCATTTTGACATCATACCTCCATAGAATGTGCATGTTGTTAAAAGAGTGAGTTAATGGCATTGATAGAATACATTTAAAGTTAGGCATTTAGACAAACCAGAGCATCAGATGCTTTGCACATAAAAAAAGAAATAGGACAATGTAGAAACATCAAACAAACCCCATCTTCCATCTATCCAAGCAAGAGCTCATTATTTTTTAAAAAAAGAACATAGAATTATGCATAATCACATTTTCATTTAAGCAACTAATCTCAAGAGTGTTAATGTTTCAAGATAGAATAAGTAATTTTCATGAATAAATAAAGTCATAAAAGAAAAAAAATTAATAACAGCCGATACATACGGAGCACAGCTGATGTCTGCTGTGCTCCGCTCAGTGAACGTAACAGAGTGAGGAGTGTCCACTGCTTCAATGAGGTCACATTTAAGAAGATGGGAAAAGAAATTATCAACGAGAGACTTCAGTGCATTACTGGCTGCTCTTCAACTGTACTCGAACATACAGAGAAGTCGGAGCACAGACTGTCAAGTTGACATTCAAAAAACAGTTCCTTCTGTTGATGGCAATGTCTGTCCCCATCAGAGTTTAAGTCACATCCTAAATGCTGGAAAAACAAAAACATAAAAGAAAAAAGTTTTTTATGTCGTGTAATCAGACCCCCGTCGGGGCGAGACGGCTGATGAAGGCGATACTGCTGAGGCACATCTTCCTGAAGAAGGCGGGGCAGGCGGGCTTCATGATGAAGTGCTCCAGAAGAATTCGCAGCTCTGTGAACAAGGTGCTGTGACGGAGACAAATTTATTACTCAACTCTGAAAGCCCAGTGAGATCATTCTGAGATATTCATTGGAATAGTAGAACAATGTGTTACTTAGGATCAAGACACTATAAATAAACACGTTTAATTAGATTAATAATGTCTAGTTAATAATGGTGAAACAAATCACACGAGATCTGTTTCCAAGAAAGGCAAACTGAGTGTCAGTGGAAAGAACACAGCTTTTAAAAAAGTGCCTGTGGACACAAGAGAAGTCAGCTGTTTAAGTAAGTATTTTGGTTCCTTTTTCCAAACTGGAGTGCTTTCTGCTTTTCCCAAATTTCACTGCTACTTGAGTTGAGTATTCTGAGAAAACATCGCTCTCCTGTGAGGTCAAGGTTCAGACATTTGGCCTCATGACATACGTTTAGATGAGGCATTTAATTTTTGTCTTGATAAAAAAACATTTCAGGGTGTCTTAATCTCTGATCATGTGATATTGACATACTTGTTGTGATTAACATGATCAAAATAAACATTAAACATCTTACCGGCAGTATGGGTTTCTTCTGGATGTGTAGCGGAGAGTGAGGAATCTGTAGTAAATGAAAGGCAGCAGCAAACTCCCCTGGCCACTGTCAAATATACAAATGTAAAAATGTACTAACCATAATTATACATTCATCAAAGTGTCATGCTAGATTTTCTTGGTTTTGCATTTTTCAAAACAACGTGAACACAAGTCTCAAATGTAACAAAATCTACTCTAGTCACTGCTCTCTGGGTGTCTTTGTAGATTGCCTTGAAAATTTGCATACAAGAATAATGTGTGTCAGATGATGTGTCACTAATCCCAGCACACCAATGGGTGGACATACATTTAAAGTTACTCAAGGGCTCTAAAATATCTCTACACAATAAAAAAACAGCAGGTACATTTACCTGAAGAGCATGAAAACAGTGGCTGGCATCAAGAAGATCTCGTTGCAGGCGATGAACTTCAGGATGTTTTGCTGATTGGCTGTTAGTTTATCCAGAAGATTTCTGATGAACATCAGGCTGCTGGGGCCAACAGACTGCAAAGAACGACAAATAAAATCAGATCAGAATCTGAAGGGAGTTTCATTTAGGCACAGAATAAACAAGAAATACTATTAATACATTTCTACCCAACCGTGTTAGAAGTCAAAGCACACTGCTTCTCCTTATACTCACATCAAGTACTTTCTTTGTGTAGGTAGTTGCATGAAGCACAGAGAAGAGAAAGACTGGGAAGATGCTCACTGGACACAAGGGTTAAGGATAAACATTAAAAAAAAAGAAACATACTAAACTCATTAGCTGAAGGTAGCAGGGTGGCATACAGAGATACATGATCAACATTTCATGGGGTTTGGTTATACTGGAGTATTTGTTTTATAAAGCCCAAGTGCAGAACATCATGCGCTTTCATGTGATACTTATTCGAATGACTGAATATTCAGAGCGCAGCCGTTAAATAAAAAAGACACAAACGGCACAGAAACGAAACACGAAGAGTTGTCGGAGGATATAAGCAGTTTGTGAAAAACATGCCTGTTAATAGAGACAAGTAGATTTAAGAGTATGGACGTGTTGCATTGAATAAAAAAGTGAATGTATGCATTAAAAGAGAAAACAAATTAATCCTTTAAAGTAAAATAAAAAAGGAATGCAGAGAACTATCCAGTTGTCCTTGATGGACGTTTTTAGATGAAAGGATACTTGTGATGGGGTGGGAGTTGACCAGGATAAGTGAGTACAGCAGGTAATGGCAGCTGTCCTCCTGAAGAGCCTGGGCCAGGAAGGCTCTGCTCAGCTGAAAGCGAGGCAGCCTTTGGTGCAGGCGAAGGGCACTGGTGAGGGCGTTCGCTAACAAGGCTCGCTGATAGAAGTTAGCTGCTGCATAGGGTCTGAAATACACAAGCAGTAAGTGTTCTGACATCTGTTTGGTCGGGAACAAATTATGGGAGGGTGACAGCTGTTTAGCGTCACAGAGTAAACTCACCCCAATATTGGAAGAATAAACATTACGGAGCAGTAGACTGTGAAGAGACGTGAGAGCCACATTGCAGTTTCAAGCTTGCTACTCATTAAAAATTGCTGTGGAAGAAAAAAAAAAGATAGATTTAGTATTTTAGGAAAATTAAGTTCAAGGAAATTAAACGATAGGTGTTGAAGTGGCTCCATCACATATTATAACATCATGGGCAAAAGATGTAGACATTTTACTTTGCTATATTTTTAAACAAAGTACTGAACATCTTCGTTTTCTCTCTCAGCCACTGAGACTGACCTTCAAGTCATCTCAACAGTCAGGATACACAGGCCAAACTAAAAAACAACTTAATTTGATCTGCCAGTAGACTTAGCACACTCATCAAAAGTCAGGAGACAAGAAGCAGCTGTATCTCATGAAAGATGTTTCGTGCAACATTGCCCGAGTGAGGACATCTTGTTATCCTCCTGATCCTGACTAGTTTAAATACAGAACCTGAGGAAAGGAATAAAGATAATAAAAATGTACCATAATCCCAAAACTAAATTCTAACAAATAAGGGCTGCAACTAGAGATTGTTTTGCCAACTATTTCACAATCAAATATTTTGTTCTTAATGCCTGTCAGAAATTTTGGAAAATGCAGCAAGATCCCCGAGTCCAAAGTGACGTCTTTAAAAGGCTTTAATGTCAGACCAACTTCAGAAAAACTAAAGTAAATTTAATTTATTATCAGATGACAAAGAATACCATCAAATTGTAACAATGGAAACATGTGGCATTTGTATATTTGCCATTCATGCTTGAAAATGTCCGTCGCAATTATCAAAGTAGTTGCAGTTTAATTCCTTTTTGGTCAACAACTCAGTCAATAAGAGCTGTGCTTTGTTGATGCAAAACATTAAAGCATATTTCTTACAGATAAATGAGCCCGTGTACTTTTACACAATGGACACAAACAAGGAAACACCTGCACAATATGAAAAGAGAATTACCTTATTTTAAATAAATAACACACCCTTCAGAAAGTTGGTGTTTTATCTATGATCAAACTGTTCCGACTTCATTTTTTCTGTAACCAGAGTGTATCTCTACACCATTTGACACTTTTCAAATCTCCCTCCAGATCTAGAGAAGACACTACACACACGTTCAGGCTGAGTAGTACTACATGTGACGAGAGCCTTTGTATGTAGAATCAGCAGAGCATGCTCACTTACAAGGTGACAAATAGTTGAAGGGTGTAAGTGTGCGGGTCACTGACTGAACAGTTCAAATAGACTTACCACAGGCCCCAGCTGGGGAGGGGGACTCTGTGTGTTTGTGTCAGCCATCTTTGGGAGCGTAGATTACTCTAAGGAGAGGAAAATTACATCATGAAGCAAACTGACTAGACAAGAATTACAAAGTGCTACTACAAAGTAGTTTTTGTTTCAATTCAAAGTGCTCCTTGGATTAGAATCAAGGGTTAATTTAGTTTCATTACGAAGCAGATCATATTGATTAATACCATTAATAACAGATGTTCATAAAGATTACAGACATATGAAATTGATAATCAGATATGACAAGGAAGGGAAAAAAAACACTCCACATTTAAGAAGGTGGATAGGATCAGCATTTCACCACCTGTCCTTCACTCTAATGGTCATTAAAATGTTGTGAGTTTCTTATATAACAAACTTTAATCCATACAAAGCTTTGTTAATTGATTGATTACATTTATTTCAGACACATCAAATAAAATCAAACATATCATATAGATATATATAACATATCACATATCGATATCATTGATGATGACGATGGTTTTTGTTTGATAACGACGACTTATAAGATGGTTTCTATACTGATTAGAGCTCTCAAGGACTGCCCTCAATGTTGTGCTTTGCCTCTGGTCACTTCCTGTCAGCACCTGTGTGTCCAATCAGACTCAAAGCTGATCGTTTGCTCTTACTGACATTGTTCCCTTTTTTCTAGATCCTTGCTTGTGTTTGTTCTTACTCTCTGATGTACGTCACTTTGGATAAAAGAGTCTGCTAAGTGAATTGTAGAATTGTAGAATATCAAAAATACAAAACAAAATGAAAAGCACGAAAATACAATAAAAAAAAAAAAAAACAATGTTCAAATTATTTCACAAAAAAAGAAAAAGCAAATTACATATATTCAATTGATATGCCTGAAAAGGAGTAGGAAGAAGTAAGGACAGAAGACATTTAAACTTTAGCCCGAGTTGCATATATCAAACTGTGTTAAGGGCTCATGTGTTTTTGTATGGGTGGGATATGTATGTATATATGTGTTGTGTGTTTGTGTGTATGTGTTGTGTTGTGTGTATGTATGTGTTGTGTGTTTGTGTGTATATATGTGTTGTGTTTGTGTGTATGTATGTGTTGTGTTGTGTGTATGTATATACGTGTTGTGTGTATATATGTGTTGTGTTTGTGTGCATATATGTGTTGTGTGTTTGTGTGTATATATGTGTTGTGTTTGTGTGTATATATGTGTTGTGTGTTTGTGTGTATATATGTGTTGTGTTTGTGTGTATATATGTGTTGTGTTTGTGTGTATATATGTGTTGTGTTGTGTGTTTGTGTGTATATATGTGTTGTGTTTGTGTGTATATATGTGTTGTGTTTGTGTGTATATATGTGTTGTGTTGTGTGTTTTTGTGTATATATGTGTTGTGTTTGTGTGTATATATGTGTTGTGTTGTGTGTATATATGTGTTGTGTGTATATGTGTTGTGTGTTTGTATGTATACATGTGTTGTGTGTATATATGTGTTGTGTGTTTCTGTGTATATATGTGTTGTGTGTATATATGTGTTTGTGTGTATGTATGTGTTGTGTGTATGTTTGTATGTATGTATACATGTGTTGTGTGTGTATATGTGTTGTGTGTTTGTATGTATATATGTGTTGTGTGTATATATGTGTTTGTGTGTATGTATGTGTTGTGTGTATGTTTGTATGTATGTATATATGTGTTGTGTGTGTATATATGTGTTGTGTGTTTGTGTGTATATATGTGTTTGTGTGTATATATGTGTTTGTGTGTATGTATGTGTTGTGTGTATATATGTGTTGTGTGTATGTATGTGTTGTGTTGTGTGTATGTATGTGTTTGTGTGTATATATGTGTTGTGTGTATATATGTGTTGTGTGTATGTATGTGTTGTGTGTATATATGTGTTGTGTGTTTGTGTGTATATGTGTTGTGTGTTTGTGTGTATATATGTGTTGTGTGTATATATGTGTTGTGTGTATGTATGTGTTGTGTGTATATATGTGTTGTGTGTATGTATGTGTTGTGTGTATGTATGTATATATGTGTTGTGTGTATATATGTGTTGTATGTTTGTGTGTATATATGTGTTGTGTGTTTGTGTGTATATATGTGTTGTGTGTATGTTTGTGTGTATATATGTGTTGTGTGTATATATGTGTTGTGTGTTTGTGTGTATATATGTGTTGTGTGTTTGTGTGTATATATGTGTTGTGTGTTTGTGTGTATATATGTGTTGTATGTTTGTGTGTATATATGTGTTGTGTGTGTATATATGTGTTGTGTGTTTGTGTGTATATATGTGTTGTGTGTATGTTTGTGTGTATATATGTGTTGTGTGTTTGTATGTGTTGTGTGTTTTTGTGTATATATGTGTTGTGTTGTGTGTATGTTTGTATGTATGTATATATGTATTGTGTGTTTGTGTGTATATATGTATTGTGTGTATATATGTGTTGTGTGTTTGTATGTATATATGTATTGTGTGTTTGTGTGTATATATGTGTTGTGTGTTTGTATGTATATATGTGTTGTGTTGTGTGTATGTATGTATGTGTTGTGTGTGTGTTTGTGTGTGAATATATGTGTTTGTGTGTAAATATGTGTTGTGTGTTTGTGTGTATATATGTGTTGTGTTTTTGTGTATATATGTGTTGTGTTGTGTGTATGTGTGTATATATGTATTGTGTTGTGTGTATATATGTGTTGTGTTGTGTGTATGTGTGTATATATGTATTGTGTTGTGTGTATATATGTGTTGTGTTGTGTGTATGTGTGTATATATGTATTGTGTTGTGTGTATATATGTGTTGTGTTGTGTGTATATATGTATTGTGTTGTGTATATATATGTGTTGTGTTGTGTGTATGTTTGTATATATGTGTTGTGTTGTGTGTATGTATGTATGTGTTGTGTGTGTGTGTTTGTGTGTATATATGTGTTTGTGTGTATATATGTGTTGTGTGTTTGTGTGTATATATGTGTTGTGTGTTTGTGTGTATATATGTGTTGTGTGTTTGTGTGTATATATGTGTTGTGTGTATGTGTGTATATATATGTGTTGTGTGTGTGTATGTATGTGTGTATGTGTGTATGTACGCTGGCTGCTGGAACACCTAAATTTCCCTGCTGGGATGAATAAAGTTTATCTTATCTTATAAAACTTATTTAATCCTTATCCACATGTCAATAATTAATATTTATTAAATTAAATTAACTTCCTGTGTTCCTTCTCTCTCTATATACAATATTTATGATACTATATTTGATATTTACAATCCAATGATTTTCCATACATATAAACAACTTGATAAACTGTTTTAATTTTATTATTTTATAGTATTAAAGTAATAAAGACTGCTGCTGATGAACAACATGCAGATTATACATCTGAACAAGCATCACAGGGGGGATTTAAAAGTGAAATAATGTACCTGTAAGTTGATTATCTTGAATGAAAGAATGAAAAAACAAAAGGTTGCATTTGTAATGTTGCTGCAGCATTAGCTCAGTTAGCATCTTAGCTTCGATATGACTTGACCATTACCGACTATATTTATCTTATTTACAGTTTATGTGACAAACACAAAACGCTTTACTGCTTACTGAATCCAAACAGTCTGCACCCTCATGAGTAAATAACCAGGGAACACCTCTGCTGGTTGTTTTAGTGATGCTAATGTAAAACCAGGTGGCTCTAGAAGATTCTGTTACCATCGTTACTAGCATGCGAGCTAAACCCTCTGCTAACGTTAGCTTTTCGGCTAGCTCGTGATTTTCTTGTCACCTAGGTTACGGCGGCCCCGGCTGTTTAAAAGGAGCTCGTATTATATATATATATTTTAATAGTCCTGGTTGATGATAATATATGTTAGTTTAAGGTGCACAGCTTACCGGTGAGACAGCGTCGATCTATGTCGGTGACAGGCTGCTGGAGTCCCGACAATCACTGAAGTGAATGATCAGCTGACCTTCTGAGGCAAGACGGGAAATTACTCTCGCGATAGTTTAGAATCACGTTTGCTGAGCCACACTGCCCTCTATTGGTAAAGAAAAATAAAGAAATGCAATAAAGCCTGCCAACTTCATTCTGGTGAAGATAAAAGTGCAAATTAAATTAAAATAGCAAAAAAAGACCTAATATGATGAAATGGCCATAAATTACAGTTAAATACACACTTTGTAGGAATAATTGTTATATAAAGATAAAGATAAAGAGATAAAGATAAACTTTATTGTTCCCCCAGTGGGGGAAATTTGTGCATTACAGCAGCTCCAGAAAACAGGGGATGGGAATATAATTATTAAAAATAAAAATAGAAGTTAAAATCAAATCAAACATATTTACATCAGTTAAATAAAAAAAATACAATAATGGAAAATTACACAGTAACTACACAGGAAATGGTTATTGTTATTAAAAAACACACACATATAATTATATTGATACATTTTAACCAATTTTTAACCGAATCACACTGAAAAACTCATTAAGATTAAAAATCTTTTTTTAAAGAATACTCTGGTCAAGACACATGGGTGGTTCTAGGCAGGGGCCAACAGGGGCCAGTGCCCCTGTAACACTGATCTTGGACCCCCCTGTAGCCCCCCTCCAAAAGGAAGCGCCCTCCTAATAACACAGTATTTGACTCAACAACCGGACTCACAATCTAGTATTAAATACTTTTACTGAAACAAATATAAATCATGGTATTTAATGATGTGCACTATTATTTGGCATAATATATATTTTTTAAAGCGATCATCTTTGTCTATTTTTCACCTGGGTTTAATGTTCCTCTCTGACAAAACAACTGGCCCCAGTTTGGCCAAGTGGTCGAGAACCGCCACTGCACTGAAAAACTCACTGAGAAAAACGAATTGACATTAAAAATATATTTTTTAAAGAATGCTCTGATCAAGACAGGCTGCATTACAGGTAACAAAGTCTCTGCAACAATCAACTAGCATCCCTTTCAAACATAACATAAGACACATGAATACATTGAAAAACATGACATAAAAAGTAAAATAGCAAATATTTGTCAAGCTCAATAAATCATCGATAATAAATAAATAAATAAATAAATAAATAAATAAATAAATAAATAAATAAATAAATAAATAAATAAATAAATAAAGATATGAGGCAGAACATCTACAGCCAGATGTGTAATTCAACATCCACTTAAAATCATCCAATGAGAGCAGCCCTTTAAGTTTCAGGTCTTTTTGTAATTTGTTTCAGGAAATTGGAGCAGCAAACTTTAACACCCTTTTTTCCCAGTTCAGTTCATACAGACAAGTAAGAAAATAATCTTGAGACCGAAGATGATAAGTTTCTATAGTCTACTCTTCTGACTGATGTAGGAGAAGTTTTAACAAAGTAGACCTAAGATAGATTCGTAAATAAGAATACGCAGGTACATGAGTAACTTTGATGTCAGCTATGTATTCACACCTTCTTTGGACCCTCATGTAAGCTACATTTATGCAACTCAGTAAAAATGATGTCCTTTACACACAGGCATTAGCAAGGCACGTTTATTTATATAACGCATTTCAACAACAAGGCAATTCAAAGTGCTCCACTCAAGACATCAAAAAGCATCATGAGGAAAGAAAAAAACATTAAAATAGAACATTTAATAATCACTTACACAATCACATATTAAATCTGAAAATGTGTTGAAATAAAATTAAAATCATTAAAATGAAATTAATTTAAATAATTAGAAGTAAAATAAAGAAATAGAATATCAAAATAATTATATAATAAGTGTAAAAGTTACAGTGCAGAGTTTAAAATTGTTTAGTTAAAGGCAGCTGTAAACAGGTGTGTCTTCAACCTCGATTTAAAAGAGCTGAGAGTTTCTGCAGTTTTCTGGGAGTTTGTTGTTAAATTGAGATAAAATTGTAGATTGTTCAGGATAGAGATATAAACATTTATTTTTACTCACTTAATTCACTATAGTAGTAAGCTAGATGTAAACTTTTGCTAATTTGTGTTTCGATTTGCCTCTTTATATTTATGCTGAAAGTTTATTGGGCATCCTATCTAAGGAAACTCAACCCAAGAAGAAAAAATGCAGTGCGCATGCGCAAAGGTTAAAGCCCACATTCTGGACCAAGAATAGTCATAAAGCCACCATACAGTTCAACCCGTTATACAGAAATTCCTCACACGAGGACCAGGAGTTTTTCTGTCATGTAAAATAGTATTTATTAAACATTACAGCTTTTATCCGAATGAGCTGCTGATTTTTTTCAGTTATTTAAAAGCGATTTGAAACTCTGCCACAAGAGGGCGCGCTGGACCAGACTATCCATGCTCCTGCAGAATGGCCTATAGCCTGTGTTGGATAATTATTTTAGCTTTAAGTGCACCTTATTTGGTCCCAACATGTTTTAAAATCTTACATCTGACTGCTACTGTAGCGCATATATCCGCAGATTATTGGCACGAGTGTCGCAGGATGATGTGTTTGCTGGAGATGCCATTTGAAAATATAGGCAGTGTAAGCACTGTAGAATCTAATTATTTCTTTGCAAAACCTAATTAGGCATTAAAAAAGGTTAACGCCAGCGCCTGAAACGTTTTTGTTTAATAATCCCATTACTGACGGCTCATCATGTATAAAATGGTGCAGGAGGACACTAAGTTTCCACTTGTTAAACGGAATCTCTGAGAAATAGTCGCACTTTTTTGACACTATCTGCGTTTGGAAATTAGGGCTCGTAATTAAACTGCGGAGACTCAGCACAGCTCAGAGTAAGTAAGGGCTGCAGCGTCCTGCCATGCATGCATTTTACATCTTTTTTTTCAAACTGATGATTCTGCTTTCCTGCTGCAAAATATAGTCACTATTGTCTGTGTTTCCTCTTCCCTCTGTGTAATGTTGTGTAATTTGTTGAAGACCTTAGTAAACGGTCTTGTGCACTGAGAACAGACCTTGATGATTTTTTTTAAGCGTCAGCTCCTCTCGGACCATCAGCAGTCACCAGAGAGCTGAAGGTGAGAATTTAAATGAGACGCGTTTTCTGCTCGACTTTAAAATTGAGGAGGCTTCTGAGGAGGACATCCAAGACACAAAGAAAAAATAAATCTACATTGTATCACCAAATTTTATAGGATATATTTCCTCTTCATTTCTTATATTTATTGCTGCTACAGCGTCTACATTGAAGCCAAACAGTCACCTCATGATGCGGATGGGTTCCCAGAATTACACTGAATATATTTAAGAAATATCAAAGGAACATTTTTGTTATCTTATCGCGTTTTTAGTAATCTGAGTAGGACCATTCTCACAAAATCATATGGCTACGCTTATTACATTTCGAGTTAGACTATCACTTTTAAAGAAATATCTTAGTGTCTCTTTTTGTACACATTCAGGGGTCAAATATTCGTTGTTTTAAGCACTGATATTTGGGAATTTGCATTTTATTTCTACGTATTAAAAACGCAAGACAAAGACAAATCACTGCAGCTTCAATGAAAACAGAAATATCCACCAACGAAATAACAGGCATTATATGAACTTATATATTTATAGGCTCACCTTTGCATTAAAGAAAAATCGGATGCTTTATGTTATTTCAGCTGCTGCAAAATAACACTTGGTTGAATTTGATCCCACTTTTATGTCGTCATATGTTTATTGAAATATTGACATGTGTTGATGCTTAAATTTACATTTCAAATAGTAGTGCCTTGTTGCTGAAATGTGCTACATAAATAAACCTGCCTTGTCCATTATACGTAAAATAACAGGCATTATATGAGTGATGCGTAAACAGAAACATGCTCTACCTGCGCGCCTTTGATTCCTTCACTTTATTCCCTCAAAGCTTCTGTAGCGACAGTTTTTTCAGGAGAAACTAACAAAGAGCAGAGAGTGAGTGACACACCAAAGTGAGAGCTTTCTAAGAGAAATAAACCGGGCTGTATACTGAAAGGATGCGCTTGTAATCGCTCCATCTCAGTCTCGGGATCTATTCGGTTAAACAAACAAGGGTGTGTTGAGGGAAGGAAATCGGGACAAGCGAGGAAGACGACGGGAAGAAAGAGTCGGTGTGATGAGGAGGGGAAAGAAGGACACGGTGCATTTCACTGTGAACGGTTAAAGTCACAATAAAGCGAGTTATAAACAGACTTCTGCGCCTTTTATCTCTTTGTTTGCTGATGTGAGAAGGCGTTTCACAAGAGGACGATTATATGATGGGCTCCAGTGGGAATGAAGCTCCTGCGATTAAGGCCTACAGAATTTAAACAGGCCAAGTTATGAAGAATTGCTTCAATGGGATTGAATTAAAAATAATAATAATGAATTTAACAATTGCAGATTTTGTGTGACAGTTCAGAAACATAATAAATTATATTTTAAACATTTGCTTTGTTAGCAACTCTCAACCGATGCTCAGCAGTTTTACCAATTGTTAAAAATCAAAAGGAACTATTTTCAAATGGACAACAAAAATAGCATGAGAATATTCTCTGCAAAATAAAGTTCTGATGAGAACTCTGCAGCTCGCTTTGAAGCAGCAAACAAAGAGCTTATTATTTTGTTGACTTCAGTAAAACAATTATTTATAATTGTCTTTGATATCTTTTGTTTTTTATGGCACACTACAATGATTTTTAATCCAAATGTTTTGGTACATGCCATATTTACAGCCAGATGTGTAGGCAGAAAAATAAAAATGAAAATAAAAAAGAGAAGATACTGCTTCTTCAAGGAAATTATTTGAAAAATGTTTTCTCTGAAAGCTCAACACACAGCTTTGGCTTTATATGATCATGCAACATGTTCCTAGCATTGCATGCTATCATATATGAACCAAATAATACAATTCAACTCTTGGATCTTGTTAGGATATTCAGCCATCTTATGGAGAACTGACACTATGAATAGTTCCTCCTTAATTTGACAAAACCCATCACAGTATTTTGGAGATATCCTCTTTGTTTC